TGCCCCAGGCTTCCTGGAATCAGCCACTGATCAGTTTCAACAGCGGCTGAATCTGGACGCCTGGGACAGAGCAGCTGGGGTGCTGCCGGGTAGGTTCCCGCAGCGCCGCCACTCACAGGTGGTTCCCGTGCATTTCAAAGGGGGAGAGGCAGCGAGAATCCGTGCCAGTGGGGACCAAAGCAATCCCTGCTGGTGCGAGTTCTCCTCTGTGTCTCTTCCTTTGAAATGTACAAGAGCCACAGGCAGTTCTTATACACTTCAAAGGGAGAGGGAACAGCAGTCGCACCAGCACGGACGGGACGTTTCAATCCCCACTTGTGCCGTTTCCCCGCTGCTCTCTGCCTCCCCCACGGAGACAAAGCTAGAAGGAACCAGCTTTTAAGATAGCTCCCCCCTAGCACAAGCTTGTGCTCCCCACCCTTTTCTGCCTCTCTCTGAGGGTATGTCTACACTACCACCCTAGTTCGAACTAGGGTTGTAATGTAGGCAACCGGAGTTGCAAATGAAGTCCGAGATTTGAATTTCCCGGGCTTCATTTGCATAAAGCCGGGCGCCGCCATTTTTAAATGTGGCTACACGCGGCACGGACTAGGTAGTTCGGACTAGGAAGCCTATAATTTATTATAACAAATCACTTAATTAGAATCAGAGTCATATCTTTTATTTTGCAATAAAAATTGTTAAAGACAGTTAAAAGATTTTATAGTAGATACTAAGGCACCCAAACATTTGATAATTTATTAATCCAAATTTGAAAATATTAATGGAAGACTCATGCTAAGAGGGCTGGCTGGGTTAACAAAGATTGATTTTGAAAAAAGCCACAGATCAACATTTTCTAAGATGCTCGTTGACTTTTGGTTGTTATCATTCCACTTGTTTGTCTATATATGCTCCAGTTGAGGTCAGTTGAAACTGAGTACTCATCATTTATAAAAAACAGGTGCAAGAGGTCTCAAATGAGTCATGCAAAATCAGTGGTCATTGGGGGAGGGGGGAAATGAAGGATAAAAGCTGTAGGGGGACACTTTTCATGTGCATCTGGAAGCACATTGCAACAGTTTATCCTAGATATGGGTTTTGTCACCAGTATTCCTGCTATTCTGACTGCTAGATTGAATTACTGAAATGTTCTCTACATAGGTCTGTCCTTGAAGTCTATCTGGGAATTAATACATATGTATCTGACAGCCTACTCATATTATTTGTATTGCTGTAGCACTAAGAGGTTCCAGACCCATTGTGCTAGGCACCATGCAAACATATAAACTTGATGATAATACACTAATTCTCTGAAGACTTCATTGCCTTCCTATTTGCTTCTTAGTGGAATTCAAGTTGTTGATGTTGACATATGTAGTCCTAACCTGTTTGTATCCTGGCTGTGTAAGAAAAAGTTTTCTCTGTGTCATTTTAACAGTTTTGCTTAGCAGGAGCCCTCTTTCTAACAGTCTTTAAATTTTAAACATCAGAAGACTTGTGACAGGGCATTCTCAGTAGTGAGCACTTAGCTTTGGACTTTTCCCCCAGTTGACTAATAGAATCAGAGTAATAAATATTTAAGACACAGTGCAGAGCTCATCATATCTCTCAGAACTTTGACTAAGCTGCAACTGGCTGGCTATCCAGCTTATTTTAGTGTCCACTTCTATAATGTACAATCTGGACTGCCCTGTTCCAGCACCCTCAGGACCTGACCCAACCCAAATGAGGGAATTTGCCAGATCAGGGGAGGTTCCCTGCCACCAGCCTCCCAGCACACTGCCCCTCCTTCCGGCTGGCTTTAGCCCTGCTACTACAGGACTCAGGCTTGGCTCCAGCCCACTGCTGCCTTCTGGCCAGGGCTTCCTGGGGCCCAAACTCTGTAGCTGCCCCACTGCTGTTGCCCCCAGCTGGGGCTCCTTGGGAATGGGACTCAACTGTCTGATGGTGGCGCTCCCCACCACTGGACTCTCATCCAGCTTGCACTGCTGAGGCACCAGGGCTCTCTGGTCCAGCAATACCTGTGATCCTGCTTCACCATGGATGTTGCTGGACCAGAAAGTCCCAGATTAGGAGGTTCAACCTCTACATGATGACTTATGTTATTTGTAACATCTGTGGTGTTAGTAGGATTTTTTGCACATCTAAGAATAAAATAAATAGTATAACAAAGTGTATGCAAGTGTAGAGAAAATTAATAAAAATGTATGGTATAATCATAGTGATTATGTTACTGTTACTTTTTCAGGTTTAAACATGTCTGATAAGAAAATACTTATGAACAGAACACATTATATTGAGAAACTACTTTCTGAAAACAATTTCCAAGATATTGGAAATCACCTTACAGAACTTGAAGCTGTTGATATGACTATAGAGTATCTTCAAGAGACAGATGTTGCAAAAACTGTGTACAGAGTCCTCAAGAACTCTCCTGCAATAAAATTGAAAAAGAAAGCAAAATATTTATTATCAAAGTGGAAGACACTTTACAAAAATAACTATTTTTCATCAGTTTCTGAGAGTGTGAAAGACCACAATGAATATTTCAGTTTGGTTCCGCAAGAACAGATAGAGTTTTCTGAAGAAAACCTTCCAAAAGATGCAGCGTATATTAAGCCACAAAGCAGTGTGCATCAACTGGGGCTTTTAAAAAAACAGCACACCGATGAGGACTCTAAACCTGTTGACAGTGAAACAAGTCCACAGCAAGAACATAGGAAGGCCATGAGGTTTAAATGCACAGATCTTATTTATAAAGCTTTGACTGATTCTGCCAAAAGCAAAGAGGAAACAGATAAGTGTCAAGAATTATCCAAAGAAATTGAACACCATATTTTTGCTCTGCATCTTACAAATGACAAAAAGTACAAAAATTGCATCAGAAGCAAAGTCTCTAACTTGAAGAATCCTAAAAATTCTCACTTAAAACATAACCTGTTTTCAGGTACTATGAGTCCAAAGACTTTTGCTGAGATGACTGTGATGGAAATGGCCAGTGATGAATTGAAACAACTCAGGGCTTTGTACACAGAATCATCTGTTCAGGAACATCAGCTTCCCCAAGCTATTGATGGCACACAGACAACCAAAATAAAATGTAGGCGCTGTGAAAAATTTGATTGCACGATCACTATGATTGCCAGGGGAACTCTCTTTCTTCCTAGTTGGGTGCAAAATGCAAATCCAGATGAACAAATGATGACTTACGTTATTTGTAATGAGTGTGGAGAGCAGTGGTACCACAGCAGATGGATATGTTTGTGATTATTAATCCTTTAATAAATATCACTTAAAAGTGAGACACATAAAATGGATATGAAAAGAAAAGTGTGTTTGAATTATTTTTGTACTTATTTTAAAATCAGTGCTAACTGCAAATAAGTTGTAGCTAAAAGAAAATTATAACATTTTGGAGGTTGTTTTGAAATCACTTGGCTTTAAAAATTTTCTTTTCGGAGTATAAAATATACATTGTGTGGTAATGTAATTTAATGGGTAACATTTGCTTGCTTGTTACAAAGACTTCTTGGTATTTCAAAACAATTAAGGACTTATTTTCAGAGATACTGAACACTACAGTTCATATTGTTTTCAGTGTGAGATTTGTGGATGCTCAGAATTTATGCAAATCAGTTCATTAGTAAAGTTTAGGCAGATTAGTTAGAATACTATAATATTTTTTTTCCAGAATGATCACTGAAGAATGCCTAACACAGACTTGCCAATTAATTAAATGAGAAATTCACTAGCAAATAAGAGTTGGATTATGTCTCTAACAAATTTAACCATATAACACGTAGAATGTTATGCTGCAAAATATAAAACAGGACAGACTGGCAGCAAATTAAGGAAAAAATGGTCTTGGATATAAACTGTTTAATAGCTTAGCAAAAAATGCCTTTTTAAAAAAGAGGTCCCAGTTCACATATGAGTATGAATGAGGTCTAAACTTGCATCTTAAGGTGGTGTACAATACATCTGGTAGTAAGCATTTGCAGAATTATTCTCCAATGGCCTGATTCAGGAAATTCTTTACGCATATAATTAAATCATCATTAAAAAATTAAGTGATGACGTTAATGAGACTTAAGCACATTCTTAAATGTTTTCCTCAATAGGCATGTTTTCCTAAATTGAGGTTTTAATTGCTACTGTTTTATCAAACAGAAAAAATCTCCGCTTAAAATAAGTCTATGAAATTACTCCTGTAAATTATCACTTTAACATTCACACTTCCTGGAGGTTGTGCCTATATTCCAAAATAAGAAGCATGAGTGAATCTAAAGGCTAGGTTTCAAGAAACTATTTTGCCAGGATCCAAAATGTTTCCTTTCTAAAATACGTATTAAAACAATGTATACATTATTTTATCTGATATACATTATCCACCTGCTATACATTAGCATTATCTTTAGAAAAAGATGTTCTGTTAACAAAATGTTACATTTTTTTATCATTCAGGTAATAAATACATGAGGGAAAATAACCTTGTTTTTACTCCTGGAACTGGTGAAATAATGTGCTCTAGGGTTGTGCAATACTGGAGCATCTGTCCTGTTTCTAAGTTCATATTTCAGATTTATATCATGCATGATAACAGCACGAGTTAGGATTAGGATCCATTTATTTTTCTTCTGTGTAATTTACTTTTTATTTATTATATTTTCTCTCTCTGCATTTATATAACACCATGTTAATTCTCTTCCAGATACTATTGGGTATTGATTAAAAAGCATTAGTGTTCTCATTTTTGTTTGTTTAACATAGAAAATGATCCTGCTAGTCCTGGTTAGCTGAGTAGATAGGTGTGATCTGGGAATGAAATTGGCTAGAGTTTAGAATTCTTTGGTAGTCAACATTTCCAATAACTTGAATGATTATAGAATCCAAGGGCTGGAAGAGACCTCAGGAGATCGAGTCCAGCCTCCTGCCCAAAGCAGGACCAATCCCAACTAAATCATCCCAGCCAGGGCTTTGTCAAGCTGAGACGTAAAAACCTCTAGGGATGAAGATTCCACCACCTCCCTAGGTAATCTATTCCAGTGCTTCATCACCCTCCTACTGAAATAGTTTTTCCTAATATCCAACCTGGACCTCTCCCACCGCAACTTGAGACCATTGTTCCTTGTTCTGCCATCCATCACTACTGCGAACAGCCTTTCTCCAGCCTCTTTGGAGCTTCCCTTCAGGAAGTTGAAGGCTGCTGTCAAATCCCCCCTCATACTTCTCTTCTGCAGACTTAAGCCCAAATCCCTCAACATCTCTTTGCAAGTCATGTGCTCCAGCCCCCTAATCATTTTGATTGCCCTCTGCTGGACCGTCTCTAATGCATCCATGTCCTTTCTGTGTGTAGGGAGGAGGGGGCGGAATTGGATGCAATAATCACCAGTGCCAAATAAAGAAGAAGAATAACTTTTCTAGATCTGCTAATGCATGTAGCAGATCAAGAAAGCATTTTTTTCTGGTTGATGTGAGCTGGAGGAGCACTCAGTAGAACATGGTAGGAAGGAGATGAGACACTCATTTGTTCTCCAAATGAATAATTTAATGCCATACATTCCTACAGTAAAACTCCGGTGGTCCGGCATCCAGTGGTCCGGTACGCCTGATGGTCTGGCATCAACTGCAACCTGGAAGTGCTCTGGCAGCTGCTTCAAGTTGTTAGAGTAATTGATTAACTGCGGCTGGATCCACAGCTGATACGCAGTTAATGTAACTTTCCTCTCTACTGCCGGGAGGGGGGGGGGGGGGGGGAACAGGTAGATCCGCAGGTGACAGGCTGGCGCTGTAACACACAAGAGAGCATCT